ACACGAGCACCGCGCGAATCAGGTATATGAACTTCTTTCGGTTTTATGATACGACGTCGTCTACTAGTGTAGTAGAGTCAGGCCTTCTAAATGGCTCATAAGTCATAATTACCCTTCTCTTTTGAAAATAAAGTAGAATGAAATACATAATTTGTGTATCAACATCTTTAACCTCATAAAAATTATTTCTTATTTAATTGAGAAAAAAATATTTTTCAACACTTATAAAATCTTATTCTATGATTTCTATCTTATGCTTAAAAATATTTTTTTATAAAATAATTATTTTTATGAATATTTTGATGATGAACATGGAGCCATCCACAACACCAACACTGGGATTTTTTTTATATTTTTATTAAAAAAAATTATCTCCCCAACTTCATGCCACTTTTACTTCCCATCACCCAAATTCTGAGGAACCTTTGCCAACCACAACAAAATAGGGTGGCATCAGTAATGCCCACAATGGATATGATAGCCAGATTATTGTCCTCAAGATAACCATGCTAGAGACATTAATTCCAAAATTACATCATTTGGGTATTTTTCTAGGTGCACGCAAGTAGCAACTAACCATGCAAATTTTCAAAGACTTGGTGAGGTGATTTGGGAAGGATTTTATCATGGGGATTGGGGAATATGAGACAAAAGCAAGATGCATAAGCAAAATGAAAGAAGGAACAAAAAGAGGAAACTGTTGTGTAGTGTTCCTTCCATGACAAAGGTTGTTGAATCTACATAGGGGAATGATCTTGTCAAGTGAACCAGTGAGGAGGAGGTTAGGCAGTGGTTGTGCACAGAAGAAGAATGAAAGAAAGGATGAAAAATAAAACACAGAACAAAAAAATCAGTAGACAAGATGGTGTTCAAGTATGTCTGCTTTATCCTATGTACAAAAAAGTCATGGTTAAGATGGAGAGAAATGTTTTAGTGGATCCAACAATCATTCTTTTCCCTCTCTCCTCATTTCTGTGATCATCCAAACAAGGGTAGTGCTCCAGCTCCACCTTATCTCTATCTACCCTATTTCTTTCCACTATGATTCATCCAACCTGGAAAGATGGTATGATGGTTTCACACACCGAAAAAACAAACTGACAAAGACATGACTCTTGCAAGCACATGCCATTTCAGATGGACCTAGATTTTGGGCCTTAGTATATTGGTGGATGGGCTTCCTCTGATGGTGGTTTCACTGGAAAAAATTTCCAACAGCTAGTAGCAATGCAGCATCAACAAACAGAATTGTCCTGGGCACAACAAAGTTAAGGCTGGCATAAAAGGAACTGCAATTAAGGTGGCAATGATTTGAATGTGGAAGTAGAGCTCCCTGGATCGGGAACTTTAATACCAACATGAAAATAGAGGGAAGAGAGAAAAAATTGAATTGTATCTGTGTGTTTTGAATACAATATCTAATTCCCTCTATAGAGGCTATATGGCTAATCCTATTAAGGGAGATAAGGAAACTAACACAAAAGGGGAAATAGGAAAATATATAATTATACAATGAGATATTTATCTAATCCTAATAATATCAAAGGTATTTACTACAGAAATTTAATTTAGGGTTTTAATTTTAAATTTAGGGCTTCTAATTGGGATTATTTGTTATTCTATGCAAGAATGCAGCAACACTATCCAGTATTTAGCATCTCAGAAATGGAAACCTAATCTGCACCACCCCAAAAAAAAAAATAGAGAATGAAAAATCTATAGGCATACATGAGCATAGCACTAAAGAGAAACCACACAATCAAGAAAGGTTTCTAACTTCCTGCCCTCCTTTGCAAAGTATCAAATACTTCATCTAGATAAGCCCATTCCAAAGCTCCCACTAAGGACAAGTCTTTTGTTGAGAAAGTGGAATGTAATATGAATGTCTTGTTGCAGATTAGTAGGCCTCATGAGAACCTTTCTCCTGAGTTTTGTGATACAAACGTATCCAACTGAGCTACAGTTTTCTTTCCCTTTTGTATTTTTGGAACAACCATTTTCGATGTTTATGGCAGTTTCCTACATCACTGGACAAATCACCTACAAATGGAAGCATTCATACATACACATACACACCTACACAACACCAGGCTAGACAATCATATCCAACAGAATGCAAGCCTTGTGTTTAATGTATCCTGTACAATAAAATATATATGATTTAAACAGAGATTAGCAGTTATAAACCAGAGACCTTTCATACATTTACTCGCGCAAACTATCAAATGACAAATATATATAGAAAATTAGAGATACTGCCACGTGCTGCAAACCTATAGCAAAAAGAAATATTACCGGAATGCAATATATAGACAAGCAGCCTGTACATGCTCTGATCTTCGTCCCCTGGTGAAACTCCTTTCAAGTGCTATCTTTACTAGGCATACACAATGATTCAATAAAATATCACATGAATGTATTATTAAAAGAAAGAAAGTCTGACATCACTGAAGTTCACACAGTAACATACTCTATAGAAAGCTAATGCTTGGTTGGCCATATTATCATCGTTCACTCCAAGGTTGGAACTTACATATCTGAGATCATCATAAGCTGCAATTCCAAAGAAAATTAGCACATAAGAATGTTATCATTAAATTTAACCTACAAATATTAAATTATCATATATCATTGTGCTTTAGTGTAGAAAAGATAAATGTACAAACTTCTATTTTGTATATGTTTTCCCTATAGTTCTCATCAACTTCTCACACTATCAATGACATTGGTTATCCTGATCATTGTTATAACATATTTTACTTTATCTCAATCCTCAATACAGATGTTAAACATTCAAAAGAAGAAAAACAAGAAAGAAGGTGCATATAATTAGAAGAACAGGAAATATTTAATATTAGAATAATAACATGTTCAATAGTTCCTATGTACAAGGCACCATGTACCGAATGAGAAAATCAATTTACATTACGATACTATGTAACAAAAAGAATTTTTAGACCAGAAACTCAACTACATCCACATTCCATGGTATAAAATTATTAATGATGCATAACAAAGAATACCTCTATCTAAAGTCCTTTGACGTGAAGCAGAGAACTCACTCTGAACAGTTCTTACATATTGGCGTATAATTTGCTCTGTGAAACAAACAAATTTTGGATACAATGTGAGGGAACAATGAAAGATATCAATAAAAACAACAGTATAGAAACAAGCCAACAAAATAAATTGATCATTAAAAACACTTAACTCGTATATCTCATGAGAAAAGCTGGAGATTTCAGATCTAGCTTGATTATTTAAAAAATAATTTTGCTATCAATTCGTAAGAAGAAAAGTTCTACACCAATTCCATTTCCATATCGCTTCATCCGCCGGCACTTTGGGGAATCACTCTACATTATCACCTTAAAAACTGGGGAGGTTTCTCAGTACTCTTCCATTTTTATCAAGGTACAGGTACCATACCCTGTAGCAATTAGTGGCTAATATTTCTCCATAGACATTAATTTCTAACACATGTTTGAATAAGAGTTAGGAAATAAAATATTAAATTGCATTTTGAATGAAAATTTATATTGCTTGGATTGATGGATATAAAGAAGGGATTTAGGAAAGAAATAAGAAGTAATTGTAAAAGACCATATTTCTGTTTCTTGGATATTTCGGATAATTTGGGAATTGACCAGTTAACAGAATTTATCAGTTTCCTCACTTGTTAAAATGCTTCCCCTTTTATTTTCATTGCTATTTCAATGAAAGCTAGTTAGCGGCTTAGCGCATAATGATTCAAGATCAATTTTACATCATGGAAAATCCATAACCACGTTCTCTTTATTATGATGTAGTGGCTGTTGTCCTTTTGATAATTTACTTATACATTATTGTGTATTAACTTGTTTGGTAATTCATTACATGAAAAGCTATTCGACTTCTGCAATTAGGTGTTAGACTAGTGGTAGGAACACAAGGAATTATCTAATCATGAAAATGAACTAGGCAGGACAGAAGTTGATAGACTACTTCTCATTTGTGCCATAGTTGTCTAGTGAAGGGCATTAGTGTCCAACAACCCCTTTTCTGTGTCAAATCATGCCTCAGGTAAGATGAATAATATTCAGGCGGAAACTGCAAAATTTTGACATTTTTTACCTACCAATTCACCCCAAACAAATGCATGAAATTGTTTGACTCAGTCCCTTAAACTTCCCTCAATAAAAAACAAAGTATAAGCAATAGTACCCTCAACAAAAAAAAGTAAACAATAACAAAAGAATATTGTATAGTGAAACAGGTGGGAACAACAATCCCATACCATCAATAAGGAACAAAAATCAGCTCGCATTCCTTTGTTTAGAAGTTCTAGTACTAGTACAAGACAATGGTAAGAATTAAAAATTAGACGCAGACAAAAGAAAATGAAAATTTATTATCAAGCACGAGTCCACAACCTCTCTAGTGAATCATGCGTTTACTTGGTCTATACAGAGAACCACAAATGTAGGTGGAATACAATATGTCATACCAGAGAGGATACTGCAGAAATACAAACACGGTTATTGGTAAAATCGCAAGTGAAGTTATGAAGATAGGAACCCACATTGTACCATGGTAATACGCCATGAAGAAAGCACTACTAAATGACACCATCATGCTGATAATTGAGATAAACAATGCCACTATTCCAAATATCAACTTCAATTTCAGTTACTTTATAAAGTCTTCCTCAGCATATCGTGAAATGAGGAGGGACAAGAAGATTAGGATTGAGGTTGAGGAAGAGACCAATGCCAATGCATCTGATAATGCAAATACCATGAACCAGGGTTTCATCGTCAAATAATTGGGAAATGCTAAGTTGTCGTTGTTAGCACCGAGGCTGAAGGCAGCAGAAAGCACTCCTGTTGCAATTAGGGTTGCAACAACCATGCAAGAGTTTGCTGTTCTTTTCATCCATGACTCTCCCTTTTTTAGCAACTCTTGGTGATCCTTGATGAATAGTTGTCGTGGAGTAATGTTTTCATGGTTTGCCAGCTCTATAAATGATGGTAGCATTATCTTTTTTACCTCCTGTTGCCACATCAAGAGTATGTACATAATGTCATTTATGTATAACTACATAATATATTTGCTTCACTAAGCTATACATGCATAAGTTAAGGTTTTTTTTTATTTTTTTTTTATTTTTTATGTACAATGATGGCAATAAGAATAAAATTTAAGACCTCATTCAATAAATTCTCCATTATTAGGTCAATCTAAGTGGGTAATTAAAGATTGTGTTTGTTTTAAAACATCAATTTCTAAAAGTAAACTTGAATCCAATTTTTTTTTATAAATTTTTTATCATTAACTAAATGTCAGTCAGTAGTATTCTTGAGAATAGAATTGCAATGTTATATCTTAAAGCAAATGTCTAGCTAGCTTAAAAGAATCAAAATGGATTATATATAATTCTACCATTATGTAAAAGTAAAGTAATCATGATACGTAAAAGGAGAAACAAATAAAAGGGAATAATATAGAAAATAAAATTAATTAAGAAGCTGGGAAAACATATAAGTTCCATACCTCAAACCATGACAACTCAAGCATCATTTGAAGAGCTGCTCCAGAAAATATATTAAGTCGTTCTTGTGGTGCTAATTTTGCAACACAGTGGAGTAAAGTGTTGCCTTCATCATCCATATATGTTAATACGAAATCTTTGGTTGGTCCTATTTCGTGTATCAAATTGAAGATGCTAGAATGACGGTGCAAAGCAGCAACATGAATTATACTTTGACCTAAGGTGTTTAATTCCCAAATCAAATCAGGATAAGTGCTCATCACCACAGATAGAAACTCGAAATTTCCAACTTCTGCTGCAAGGAATGTTACTTGTGTAGGCTCTTTTACGGCATACATAAACTCTGAATCATCCAAGGTAAGAAATATCTCCCACATGCGTTTTGTAAGTTTCAGAACTGGAGGGTCCTTCTTGTCTAGGGCACACAATATAACAACTTAGTTGCATAATGAAAAAGTAACTTGCCTAACTCCATAGTTAAACTAAAATCAACATAACAATGGATGTATGAAAATTAAACTCCATATAGTTAAACTAAAATCAACATAACAATCTAAAAAAATAATATTTTGTTTTTGTATGTTGCTAAAATTTTCTAATTATTAATCAATTATAAAAAATCACTTTAGATATAATTTTTAAAATAATTAATGTAAAAACTAATAATCCATTTCAATCGAGGATCTGATGAACATGCCAAAACCACATCAATAGATAATTAACAATTGAAAAGACAATCCAAAGTCATCATGATTTTATTGACAGAAGCGATTAAAATTAAGCCCTTACAGAAATGCAGGAGGTGTCTTGGATATCGCAGTTGACTTCCGCAACTACAAACTGAAGAAGGCTTTCTGGCCAAGACATGCAAACCAGTCTCACTATCATCACCTCGAGCAAAAGCCAGCGATTCCTTCTGATTTAGCATTTTCAGGGCCAGATCTGCAAGAATATGATCCAAATTAAGGTGTTTCCAAATTCTAATGATATTAAGATTAATGAGGGTGTTTACATTTGTTCGGATCTACCAAATTACACTTCCTAATTTAGTTAATTAGTGTGTATGTGTGGTCCACTCGCATAAGTAATTAATGGGAAGGATTCAGCCTTTTAAAGAATTAAATTAAAAACAACTCTTCCAAGAACTACTAGAATTGATTGTTCACCTAGGTTTACTCCTCAGTTATATATTCTATTTTGTCAATAGTCAAATAAAATTTTTAACATATCACAAGAATTAAACATCTATGGATAATCAAATAACAATATGATAATAATGAAACAATTCTAAAACTCTTAGAGATGTGGAATTGTAACTAACTCAATTCTAAAACTAACTTATAAAATAATGATTATTTTTTATTTATATATTATATTTTGATCAGGATTTGTTCTAACAAAAGCTTCCAAAGTCATTGTTCAAACATTCTACCATTTTGACTTTTATAATACAAGTTTCCTTTCCTTATCTAAAATATCCAGTCTTCTTGATTGTGGGAATATATAAGATTATAGGTACACAACATGCTTACCATAGAGTCCAGTGTTTATACAAATGAAGAACAGTGTAATCCAATCCTCTTCATAGAGAATTTCCTTAGACTCATCAAACAGATAGCATGTCATTTCACTTCTTCCTTGTAACACAGCCAAGTGAAGAGGAGTGACACCTACTCCACTCCTTAACGTTGGCAACAGTTGATTTTTTCTGCGCATTATCTCAGCAATGTGGACGTTACCAACTGCTGCAGCAAAGCAGAAAGCAGTGTTCCCTTTGTCATCTTGCAGCTCTAAATCTTGGGGTGGCATGAGTTTGACGAGTTCCTCCACAAAGTGTTCATGGTTTGCTCCCACTGCAACATGGAGCACTGTTGCCCAACCCTTTGTTATGGCAGAGTTGAGAAGCGTGGTGTCTTGATCTAGTATTTTCTTTGCTTCTTTCCAGTCACCCTTCAGTGCTGCTTTGTGGAGGGGAACACACTGGCTCAGGTACCTCTGCCTTTCTTCTTCTGCAACAAGTGTAACATTTCAACTAGGGTCTAAACATTTTGGAGGGAATAGTGTGTCATTGGTGTGTGTCATTCAAGGGATTAGAATCACTGATAAAGCTTGTTTAGGTACAAGTTTGAAAGAGCCTTCCAAGCTTTTCTACTAGAAATTATTTTCCGTGTAAATTTTTTTAAAAACTCTTGTAAATTTATATCAAAATAGACAGGCTCAGTATTAGTTCAGGTTGAATAAGTTTTTCATACGTATTTATAGGAAGAAAATAAGAATATAAAATTAATTGAGTTTAATTTTTACAAACTACTATAGGTTAACATAATGGTTAAGGATATTGAGATTAATGTATAAGAATTGATGTTTGATTCTTACTGTTATTTTCTACTAATTAAAAAAGTTGAGTTTTCTGCATATGTTAAAATCATTTACAAGTCTTTGGAGAAATTAGATACAAAAGATTACACTAAGAGAAATGTTAACAATATATTATCTAACACATTTTTTTTATTGTTAGTTAAAATTTATTAGAAATTACAAAATTTTGTAACATCAACTTCTTATTTAATGAATTTCAATCATAATTTTATAATTTTTAATAAATTTTAACCAATAATAAATAGTACTATAGATAGTAAATTAATAATACTCCTCAAAAATTAAATTATACAAGTTAATTTTAAAATGAAACTCAACTTATTTATTTATTTACTTTCAATTATGAAAAAAATTATTCAAATAAGAACTTGATATAGTTTTATAGAGATTAACCATCTCATGGATTAGTAACTTACGAGTGGAAACTAAATGAGGGGGAGGCGTCCTAGACAGAGCCGAAGCTGCCTTCTGAAATAGTCGTTGGAAAGATGTTGAGCTTGTTCCCGCCATTTCTGTAAATGTTAAGAGAACATACAAAAAAAAAATTGTTATATCTTTTCAGTTTTCAGTAATTAGTTAGCAACTTTAATACGCACGAAATGACAATCTTCTAATATTTATCATCCATTGGAGTCTTGCCTAGAGAAAAAAATGTAATCGTTTTGACTTTGAGAGTGCCCATAAAAATAGTCCAACAATGTCTGAAAAGTAATATGATTAATTTCTTCGAAAGTGAATCACAGCTAAAATTTAGCTTTAAATTTTGAAGATATAAAAAAAAGAAGAATGCAATTCATTTATATAAATAAAAAAATTTAACTTTAAATTCACACAATTTAACACATGCGATAATCCCTTCAACATTTATATAAATAAATAAAAAACGCAATTCATTCTGACACAAAATTGAACACACAGACCTAATACATCATCTAAATCATTCCAATCCTTTATAAAATAAAAATAATAATAACACACTTGCTAAATCACGCATAATCAACCGACTGTAATTTCGCAAAACGTGACATAAAAGAACAAAAGAATCAGAGACAAGAAACACTCGCAAGCATCAAGTTTCATTTTCTAATTTCATTTATATTAGAAAGCTATGGCTAATCGGCGAGGATGCAACAGAATACGAAAAGAATGATGCGAAAACCCCAAACTCAAAGCATAAGAAATGTGAAGGATTGGAGTTCACAAAAATTAAAATACAAAGTTAATTGACCTCTTTAGCTTCTGCAGTGATGAACAAGAAGAAGTCTCTGTGCTCTTGCGAAGATGGAGATTCTTCAATATTCGCAAGTAACGATCCGTTACACGAGCACCGCGAGTCAGGTATATGAACTTCTTTCGGTTTTATGATACGACTCTGTGCTGTTACTAGTGTAGTAGACTCGATGATGGAGATTTTTCAATATTCGCAAGTAACGATCCGTTACACGAGCACCGCGCGAATCAGGTATATGAACTTCTTTCGGTTTTATGATACGACGTCGTCTACTAGTGTAGTAGAGTCAGGCCTTCTAAATGGCTCATAAGTCATAATTACCCTTCTCTTATATTCAATAATTTTACATTTTTATTCTTACTTTTTACCTTACGGAAAACAACTCAAAATTATGTAGTAAAAAAACTAAAGCGCTCGCGTATTCTTCAAAATATGTAAGCTTGTGTCTGGGTAAGGAATTTTAAAATTTTAGATAATTTAAAATTTTAGATAATTTAAAATTCTTTATTTTTAATTGAAATTCTTTTATTGTTTAAATATTTTATTTAGATGGAGTAATTTCAAAATTTTGGATTTAAACTATTTTTTTTTATATAATACTTCAATTTTCACATAAGCAACATTTCATTTTTAAATATTTATTCAAGAAATTAATATTTAATTTTAAACTTTATGTATTGTCTAAAAATTATTAAAAAAAATAAATATTTGTCTATTTTTAAATATTTTATAATTGAATTCTTTAAAATAATATTTAATAATTGAAAATTAATTTTAACATTAGACAGTTTTTTATAATTCAAAAATAATATTAGATGTTGTATTTAATTATTTTTTTTATGAATTTACAAATGCACTCTTATTTAACCTTAACTACTCAATGTAGTCTTCTTTTGCATATAAGGAAGATTAAGGAAACTAAGTCATTTCAATTCATTATTATGGGTTGATTCCTTAATAAAATAATTATTACGATATCATGCTACTAGCCTATTACACTCATAAGTAAATAAATGACTCATGTAACCACAAATATGATTATTTTAAATTCTTCTTTTAAGTAAAAAAGATTAAGTTTCTTTGTTTTCTTAATAGATTAAGATTTTTTGTTTGTATACTATATTAAAAAAGAATAATGTAGTACTTCATTTGTTTCATAATAAGTGTTATTTTAGAAGAAAAAATAAGTCACAAAATAAGAATCTTATTGTTAGTTTTTCAATGCAGTATTAATTATCTCCTTTCCATTTATACCACTGATAATATTATATAGAGAAATGTTTTTATGTTGTATTGTTTTTATATAAAAAATTATTCACAAGGTTAATTTTGTAAAATCAATATTCTCTCTTATCTATTATTAACTTTTTTATCTATGTAAAATAATTTAGGGTGTCACTTATTATAAGACTAAGGATTTATAAGCTATCATTAATATGGAAGCATTACCTAGTAAAAAAAGGTATGAAAAAGATAAGAGTGACAATCAACTAATTGATTAGTGTGTTGGATGAGCTAATGAGAGAAAGAAGATAAACAAAAGAAAGTATAATATCATTCTAATTTATGTAAGAAAACTAGTAAAAAAGAAATTTAATAAACATTTTAAGGATAAAAAGAAATAAATATAAAACTACATATGAAATAATGTTAGAACCAAAGACATAAAAGTCTATTTCCATAAAGTTTTGATGATAACAAATTGAGTCTAAATACTTTATTCTAAGAGTCTTGATAAAATAGATGTTTTAATGAACTATCATAAAGAAATTTACGATGTCTAACGACATTTTCTATTGATCGTCCAATAACTTTTTGATAGAGGTGACAAATAAATAGATTGGATAATTTTTTAAGATGGATCATAATAGATCGGATAAAAATAATTCATTAATTTATTTAGATTTATTAAAAAATTACATAAAATTCAATATCCATTTAAAGTAATAAAAAAAGGCATACAATCCATCCATCAACAATTTTTCATGTATGGATATTCAATCCATCCATAAAAGTAATATTTTAAAAATTAAATAATATTTTTGAAATATTTTTTTCACTTTTTTCTTTATAAGTCATTTCATTCTTATATAGTCTTTTAAAATTCATAAGATTTTTTTTATGTCAAAGTACTCTTTTAAATCTCAATCCAATAAATATCTCATATTAATCCAATGGATTTTAAAAAAGTAATGGATGAATCAGTAACCATCCATAAAATTCAATGAATGGATTGAATTCAATTTATTTTTATTTTTATTGTAATTGATGAATTGAATAAATTTACTTGTTGATGGATCGAATGGATGATGGATGATGAATAAATGGATTCATTGCCACTCCTACTTCATATACACAAGGATCCAATGATCTTTGTCTCATTTTTGTAAGGTTTAATTAGGCCTAAACTCACATACTAAGATAGTATCAGAAATATCCTAGACTCACTTTAAAAGGGTCACCCACCAAATTTATCTATGTATCAAGCCTAAAAGTGTTGCGTGAGGGGGTGTATTGGATAAAACTAAAGTCTCGTTTGTCCTAATCATTAAAAATAGTTACTCACCATTTATCCATACACCAAGTCTAATAGTGTTAGACTTGAGGGAATATATTGGGAAAAACTAAAGTTTCAAAAGATTAGAGAAAGGACAAACAAATAGTATTTTAAGTGAAAAGACAACCCTCATCATACAAGCCGATTTTGCAGAGTTGAATTAGGTTTAAACCCACATTCTAAGACCCTTAGGACATGTTTAGATAAGTTTCTCTATAACCACTTTTAAGAGAGAAAAGTAGGAAGAAAAAGGAATATAAGCTGCTCCATAAATCAAAAATAGCTTATGCACAAGTTAAAATAAGATTTTGGAAAAGTCAATAAAAGATAGTTTCTACTAATTAGCTTATGAGTAAGCTAATTTTAAATTATGGAGAAACTCCTTTCATTTTGCTTTCATATTCTTCTCTCATATAAGTGCTTTGGAAGAAACTTAGTCAAAAAAAGTCATAAGTGTTATATATATGGGTGTTATGCCTTATGTATTGATTTCGTGAAATGTATGGGTATATTATTTTATTTGCAATTAATTACCAACAAACATCTTTTAAATAAAAATAATAGTGTGGGTTATTTTGTTGTATGCATAAATTATGGGTTGATTATGTACTAGTCATACCGTTATGGTTAAGAACAGAACACATTTTACATAATGCTTAACCAAATATGGTATTATGCATACTCACTTGCAAATATCAATTGTATCATAGAGCTCTCTCCTATGTGACACTTGTTGTACCTTTTGCAACATACAAAAAGCAAGACCTGCAAAAGCGCTTTGATTCAATAATGTTCTCTCCTCTAATGTATCTTTTTCCGTGTTCCTATAAAAAGAACTACAATGTTGGAATGTAGAATCGAAGTGTGAGTAATCTTTTGCTAAGTGCTCATTCTTCGATTGATCAAAAAAAGCTATCATTCTTACATATACTTAAACTATCCAGAGTAGACAATCTCATTAGACTATCCCTCAAAACTCCTAGTAATCTTATTGGTAATGAGTGTAATTAGAGACCTTTTGTAACTTTTATACCTACCATTTTGAGTTAAACACTTGTCAAACTTTAACATCGTGCATTGATAAGCTTAAATAGGCATGGTAATAAAGAATACTTAAAAGTATCATATTGTATTAGTAGTTGGTAGTTGATTTGTAGAGTCAAGAGAGGTTGAAAATGCCTAATTTTATACTTAATGGTTGAGTAATGAATTCTTTTAGTGTAAGAAGAAATTACATGTTAAGTTCTTTAAATAAGAGTGAACCAATATAAATTCATTGTGTGTTCTCTCTCTTTTCCTTACTTTTTTAACTGATTCACTTGTGCATTTGACTTACTTGCTAACACATTTAACTAACATGGTTAAAAAAGTTTTAAATAAAAATATTTAAACACACAATCTGGGCCTTCTTGTGTATTTCAACTTATCCTAAAATGACATTTTTTTTATATAATATTCAAAATCAGACAGGCTGATAGTTAACTTAATAATAAACTCTCGATTCAATAGATGTGAAATAATATTTTTTTTATATAATTTAATAAAATAATTTATGCGATAGAATTTTTTTTATGAAACAATATTCAAAATAATAACATTATATGCGATTATAAGTCCATGGGTTAGTATTCTCTATTTAATATTATTGGATGCTCTCTCTCCTCAATTTCATGAATATTGCAAGCTGACTGATTTCAGTTGTTGTCAATTCTTTCAATCAGT